TTGGAACCTTTCCTCTCTTGTTTTCTTGCTATTTATAACCTTGATTCTGATTTCTTGAAATATATTGAGGAATTGCATTTTGCAGACTAGAGAATCAGAAGTTCTTGTACAGAACAAGGCATTATATGAAGACAAGGAACACTTATCACAGGTCAGCAGTTAAAAATGCATGCTAAATTTCAATCTCTTTATGAGACAAATATCTACTATGATGTGTGAAATTTTACAGTACCAGACTTCTGATGTGTGAAATTTTACATATGTGGAAGTGGTGCTTTTTCTTGTCATGTTCTTTCTACTACAATAGTTAGTCAGTTAGAGGGCATAAGCCATCACTAGGTTTTCTGTCGTGTGGGTGAGAGGTTGGAATTATTCCCTACCTTCCATAAACATGAGATTCTACTGTTTTATGTCTTTACTGTCATGTTTGGAGACACATGCATGCATAGCTGTTTGCCAAGTACGTTCTATATTTTATTGCATTAAGAAGTCAAGTGAAGATTTGCAATGCTTGATTTTTCTAGTCTGATTTCTGCTTCATTCTTTGTCAGTACCATCCTTTCAATGACGTCTGTTTGGGTATATGCCAGCTTTCCCTTGATTCTCTTCAACATAATTAATGTATCAACAACAAAGAAAGCTGATTTATGTTTTAAAACTTATAGTACCATGCATTTTCCTCCTGTCTAGTTCCGTTATCATCGTCATCTACCCGTAACTACCTGCCTGATGCTCCTCCTCCTAAGGGAGAGAGATGGAGAAGGATCAATTAAATATGCATGACATATCATAAAACATCGATTAAATATTGAGAAAATTTTATTGATCTTTTTGTTTTTCTAAAGCATGCCTTACTTATCTAAGACTGATCTGTGCTTTTCTTGCAGCAAGAATACATTCGTGGAATCAGTGCATGGAATTTCAATCTTGAGGACTTGAAGAACCAAGCTGCTCTTGTATGTAGATAGATCTGTTTCTCAAATAAGTTTCTATAGTATGGAAGCTAACTCTAGGTTTATTAATTGTTACACTTCTCTATTGTGGCTTGTAGATACCGGATGATGAAATTTCTAGTACTGAAGGGTCAACTGGAAGCAGGACTCGAAAGGATAGGCATAATGATGTTGGCTCTCCAACAGAGAGGCTGTCATCCAAGATGGCTAATCATTCAAATAATATGTCACCTGAGGTATACCCTTTTATTCATATTCAAGTGTAAATTACTTTGTTGAACCATTGTATCAGTGCCTCTCATTTTTATACTATTGCAGCATCTACATCTATCTTCAGTTTTATTCAGATTTTTCTATCAAGCAAAGATGTTTAAATATTTCTTCTACATTCTACTCAGGATGGTCTAAGCGACATTAATGATTTGGAGAACTCACTTGCAGGGTTTCCCATTAAACCCCTTCAGGCACTCAAGTAAGGTTTACACCCATTTTCTTGGTGTGTGCACATCTCTATATTATTCCACCTTTATAATGTTCCAAACTGTTAACCTTATACTAAAATATATCTTAACTATTACAAGGCTGATTGAAATGGATGAACTATAGCTATAGATATGAATGCACACATAATACTACTAGTTCATATATATATATATATATATATATATAATTGGCAAGACATTCTTGATTTCTTTGTAATTTATTCCTTTGCATACATTTTTTAATGCAAAATTTTGTATTGGTGCAGGGGCTGTTTTGATGTTTGCAAGGATGAAACGGATGCTGGTAGTCCAAGCTGGAAAGATGTTATTCCTTCAAATTCTGATCAGCAGAATGCTTTGCAGCCATTGACCAATGCTAGGGACCATGAAAGTGGTGGAAAAGATAATGAGAATCTGGGACAAAACAGCTCCTTAGCATGCTCTATTAGTCCAGGGTATAAAAAGTTTTTGAGTGGTTCACTATCGCCTAAAAATGGAACAATTGATGGAGAGAGGTATACTATTCGAGTATTCATTTCTTATCTTCTAGTCTAAGGTAGTGCTAGTGGGTTGCGTTATTATCATATACATGTATAGTAAGTAACATTTAAAGGTTAAAATGGCTACTTGAAAATTCTGTAGTTTCAAGGCAGCCTATAGTAACCTTTGTGCTACCTCCCTCCTTCCCTTTTCTAAGAGGTTTATAGAATATTGAATAGTGATGTGTTTCTCTAATTAATATAAAGGGAGTCTCTACAGCCTAGATCTGAGCGAAATTACAGTGGTCCACTGCAGTATCACCACAAGAAAGAAATTGGTAATATACATTTTTTTATGTTGATTTTTCTGATTCTTAGTGTAGCATTCTTTAAGGATTTTAGTTGCTTGTTTCAAATCATTCCTTTAAATTTCTGAATCTTCTTTCACAGGGGAAGATCCACCTGAAGGAGCTGTTATCCAACGCAGGGGACGTTTCAAAGTCACTTCTGCGGAATTGAGTCCAAAGGTAGTATGCTTTCCAACAGTTTCTTACTCTCGTTGCATTAATTGCCAACTCATCTTGAACTGTTCTGAATTGTTTGATGTTAAGTGCATAACTTAGCAATTTATCTTTTAGGCAATGGCTTTGTAACCATTGCCATTTCTTTTTTGCGTTCAGGGTCCTACAAACTGTTTCTTTAACCCTGCTTCTGGAGGTTTGAGTGGCCCAGCTGCTCCTGGTCCAATGGCTGCTGCAGTTCTACCGTCATTGCAATACATGTTGCAGCAAAATATGTTGCAAAGAGTAATTTCTGCCTGCTTTTTGGTTTTGCATGACTCACTATGCTGACTGTTAGTTAATTACTTTCTATTGATATATTCAGGACGAAATCATTAAATTGATCAAGTATGTGGAGCAAACATCTGGTAATACTATTTATATTTTGCTTTTCACATCTAGACTACATTACTTTCCAACCAGATGGATATTTTCTTTCCCTTTCTTTTGATTGGGGGGTAAAATTTCTGACTGGCCCCTATTAACTTCAATGCAGTCAATTCTATGGACACTGGTGAACCTGGAACTAATGGGCTTTCTCAGGTACCCATCATTTCTTTATAAGAATGCATGAGTTGTATTATCTCGTTATATTTTGGGTTATGTTTGGCTTCCAAAGTATACAGCGGGCTGAGTTGCCAGCTAATGCATTTAATTCTTATTTTTGTGGACATATATAAAGATGCTTCCTACTTCTGCAAGAGAGAGAGATCTACTGTCCCAGGTGATTCAATTGCAACAAAGGTACATAGCAAGACTGCAAGTTTCTTAAAAATGCAGTGTGTGTTCTATTTGTTTAATGGGTTTTTGTAATTTCAGCATTGGGAACCTGGTTGAAGAGTTGCAACTACAGAAGATGAAAAATGCTCAGGTATGCCTTCTCTCCATAGTTACAATAAGTTTCTACCCCCTCCCTCCTCCCTCCCTTTTTTTTTTTTTTTTTTTGTTGGCTTAAAAGTATTTTCATGCAATGATGCTGAATAGTTTGGGTTGACTATATTGTTCTGGATTGCAGATGGAAAAGAAATTGAATGCAATCCTTGGAAAAGAGGATAAAGAATGAAATGGTGCAAGTCATTATGGTGGGGTTCTGCTTCTGTTCATTTCAATCATATTTTGTGTATCATATTTATTATGTAAATCTGTTACCAAAATTTTGAATTGGTCTAACTCATAGTATTGCACCATATTCTACCATAATGTTGTAATTTAGTGACGCCATATATTGTAATTAATAATTAAAGTTACTTTATATGTTGTAACTTTATTGTCGTCAAATGTAATTTAAATCTATCACAAAGCATGTCATTGTTAGTTTGTTTAAATAAATTAGATGTCGCTGAGGGATTAAAAATAATATTTTCTTGAAAAAAAAACAAAAAAAGAGGTTGAAGAAAGAGAGGAGAGAAGAAGAAAGGGAAGTATTTAAAAAATAAATAAATAAAAGGTTGAAGGCAGCTCTGACTGCATTCTTCTTCTCTCCTTCGTCCTCAAGTCTGGAGACGAAGGAAGAAAAGTTTATTTAAAAAAAAAAAAGAGAAAGAAGAAAGAAAGAGGTTGAAGGAAACCATAGTCATCTTCTCTCTTTCTTTGTGATCTAGAGACGAAGAAAGGAAAATTTTATAAAAACAGAGGTTGATGCCTCCTCTCTTTCTTTAACCTGTTTTTTTTAGAAAAATACTATGTATACTCACACTTTATATTCTCAATTTTTATTTCCTCACAAAATCTTGATCTAAACAATTGTATTGGGAGCTACATTTAAAAAAAAAGGCTTATCACAACCGAATTTTGTCTATTTTTGCCCAACTTTTACTGTTTTAAGACCACCTTATTTTTTGTCAACTCTATTTATTTTTATTTTTATTTTTTTTGCTCATTTTTGTCATTTCCCCTTGTTTTCCTATCCTTTAGGTGCATGCAATTCATCCTATGTGGCCGGCTAGCGCCCCAAGGCCAAATCGAATTATGCAAAAGTCGTTGTATTAGGCAGTGACTTAATTGATTTATTTCACATGTTCCTTGTAGCCTTTTCGTCGTTTCACACAGTCGACCTAGCAGAGTCGCTGGCTAGCTAATCGACAAGCGACCATCATTGATATGCCATCAACAATCATTAAAGTTCTTGTTCTCACCAGTCACCGCCGATCTCCTCTCGAAGTTCTTGATCTCACCAATTGTCATCAAGCCGACAACCAACCAATCGACATACATGATACAACAAATATAGTTCCGCATAGCCTTTTTGTCGATTCACACAAACAACCTAGCAGAGTAGCAACTAGCAAGCTAGCTGATCGACAAGACCATCATCGATATGCCACCGACAACCAATGGATAGATGACAAACGTAGTTCAACGCAACAGTTGAGATACTTGATCTCGCTAGTCAAGTTCTTAGTCTTACTGCTTGGAGTTCTCACCAAGAGTCTCACCTTTGGGTTCTCTTAAACTAAAGATGGGCACTAGGGCCCATCAAACGCCTAATGGACCCTAGCGATGTTGACAACATTTATCACCATAATGTATTTGGAAGAGAGTTCATTAGGATCATCATCAAACACACTTCTAACAAATTCAACACTAATCAATATATGCAAAAAAAAAAAATGTCATGCACAAGAGTGGGGGAAGACACTGAAGTTTGTCCAAAAAGTCACTAAGAATTGCTGCCTTCTCACCGAGACATTGAGAAACTGACCTAAGGATGCATTTAAGATTACCAGAGGCAGTTGAAACTGACCTAAGGATGCATGAAAGATTACCAGAGGCAGGTTTTGTTCACGGCTGAAACAATGCCCTTCAGAGTGGTCTGCATAGAAATAATGATTGACATGAATGCAAGAAATTCATACTAGTATTCAGAAAGAAGGATTTTTTTATTTTTTTTTATGTACTAACCACAGAATGATCTTTCAAACCAAGTGCAAGAACCAGAGGTCTGGAGGATCCCGAGGAACTGCCAACATTTTGGAAGCTTTCAGGACATAATAATGGTTGATGAAACAGTGCTTAGTTTGCAAGCATGAAATTATAGTCACTGGATTTGTGGAAATACCTTATATGTTCAATAAGTTGCCTAGCACAAGCAACTAGCATAGGCTGCAGGATTGAGATATATTAGATTTAGGTATTCTAACAACAATTATGGAACTCTAATGTGGTGTGCATCAAGCCATCACTTACCTCATCACGTTTCCCCAGTATTACGGACACACTAAAGTTTGGTTCAGTCGTCATCCCTTCCTCCTTCCTACCAAACAAAATGATACAAACAAAAGTTGTATCTGACTATTAACGTATAATTTAATAACCTGTTTATCAATTACATATTGGTCCTGTTGGTAAAGCTTATAAATATTATGTATTGTGAATAATCTGTAATCTACTCCAAGTAACCTGTGAACTATTGGCTTAAATAAGGTTGCATGATCTATAATCCATAATCTTTGCTGGGACTGTAGAAAGTGGACTATTTAATTATAGTCTTAATAATCTAATTACACAAAACAAATTACACAAAATTTTAAATGGCCCATCCTTGGACCACATAACATAGTTCTTCTTATTGAATAATAAACCATGGTGTGTTATCATAAGCTATTCAGACGCAAGTGACTTCAGAAAAGAAAACAATGTCAAAACTCCAGGTAGGGATAGACCCCTTTATGAAATTGTGACATTTCAAATGCATGGTTTGGAGGATGCTGACTCTAAATAGAATAGTCAAACCTAACAAAGATGCATATTATTGCAGCCTCACAATTTTTTAATTTTCCTTTGTGACTATTAAAGCCCCATAGTATGTGCCCATTTTGTAAAGCTGTTTTATGATTTAGGACAGTGAATAATCCATATCAAAACATTGATTTGGTTAGTAAAAATTCTGAGGATGACATGTTTATAGCAAAGGATACCTTTGCTTGTATGCCATAGCAAAAGCTGATCACTATTCTCACTCTTGGAAGGAAGGGAGGTTAACAAATTGCTTGGCACTTAAAGCAAGATTTTGAACCTAGTGTTTCATCCATACTTAGTGTGCTGGGCATGTACAGGGACAAAGACTAAAATAATGCTAACATTTGCATAAGTTTTCAACAAATATAGATTCCTTTCCGTATAAGGACCATCCACCACAGAAATTATAAGAAATATGTAGGAAAAAACAGCTTAACTAGATAACAGATAATGCAGACCTGGCATGCAGTATAGTGCCCATGCTTCCTATTTGAGTTGCAATAACCTGGAAGTAACAAAAATCCTTAGCAAAGCTCAACATCTTAAAAGAAAACATTGACAACAAAATCTGGGATGGGAAACTCACGAGAAAATGGTCATCGTAGCTACATATGACAATATCTGTTTTATTCCCCTGATAAGACAAAGTAAACACAAATAGATTTGAGAAGAAACCTGTTGGACTGTTGTATCATAAGCATACAGATTCTCTACTGCAGAAAGATATGAATATATAATGCAAAAGAACATGGCTACGCAATACATCAAACAAGTGGTGTGCCAACGTTTTTACCATCCGTTTCCAAACAAATACACGACGAATACCAAATTCAGTAACCACTCAGATTGATTAATGACAGCGTGAACTATGCTTAGCTTCTCTACATGTATTTTCATCACTAACAACTTCGATATCATTAAAAAAATGAAATTATGAAATCGATTAACTAAACTAAGAGTGAAAATAATAAACACTGTTCCAAACTAATGCACAACGAATTCCAAATTGAGTAACCATTCGGATTGATTAATAAGAGCATGAACAGTGCTTAGCTTCTCTAAATGTATTTTCATCACTAACAACTCCGATATCATCAAAATAACAACTAAATTACTAAATCGATGAACTAAATTAAGAGAAAAAACAATAAACATCGATAAAACCTGAATGTCGAGAGAGAACTGCTTGTGACGAACTGGAAAAACGGGTGATGAGATATTGTGATCCATTAACCGTCGCTTCACTCCTCAGGCGACAGGCCAATGTTTTCAGCTAAATACGATACGGAGTATTTATTTACAGTGCTTTTCTTTTCTTCTGTATGGGGAAAGGTAAAAAGAAAAAAAGAAAAAAACATAAAAATTCTCTTTTATAAAAAAAAAATGCAAAGAATGCCTCTACTAAAAACAAAAAGGGAGAAGTGTCAAATAGGCCTATGTATTAGGGGAATTCTATTTGCACCACCCTAATTGCTATTTGCACCACCTATTTAATAGGTGTAATAATTTTTAGGTGGTGTAAATAAAAAATTGCTATTTGCACCACCTTCATTAATTTTAGTCAAACATTATTTTTTTAACAAATATTTATTATAAATGACACTTTTTCCCCTTAGGTATATGCTTTTAACTTTTTCCCTCTTAGTTATTCATGTATCCACATTTGCCTCCTAGTTATATTAAAAGTGGCATGTTTTCTTCCTTTTATGTTTGATAGACATTTTTACCATTAAAACTAAATATTTCATTTATTTTTTCTTCTCCAACAAATTATTGTTTATATGTACGGATGGTCACGGTTCAGTTCAAACAATTTTTTTTTTATTTATTATTGTCAGTTCAAAATTTATTTATTGATTATAAATTTTATTTCTTATTTAAAAAAAATTAGTAATTATTTTTTTGTATTTTATTTTTTCGGTTCTGAATCGTAACCAAAGCCAAAGGGAGTTTGTTTTAATTTACAATCACACGTGTTATATATTACTCTTTCGAACTTCATTCCAATTAAAAATGGGAAAAATATTGATTTCTTAGGCTTTCGCAGTCATATTGAGTTTTTTTTAATTTGCAGTCAACATATGAATATGAATTGCAACTGTGTTGATATTAGGTTATGTATTTTTTTAATAAATAATAATATTATAATGTTGTCCAATATTCATTCCGTGCATCGCATGGGTAGCATACTAGGAGTAAACATACTCAAGATTAAATATGTATACCGCTAGTTGCGATTAATAATATATAGTAACTTTTTCATACTATTTTCAATTATTAAATTAAGCATTGTAAATACAATATCATAATTATTTTGTCATATACTTAATAAAAATGTAATTTTAAACAATTAAATTGTGGTTCATGTTTTCTTATTATGTACTTCAAATACCATTATTAAAAACATTTTTTTACCTATTCTAACATTACAAACAAATTTTTAATATTTAGTCCGTGCATCGCACGGGACAATACTGATTATATATAATATTATTAAGCCAACTATCATGTAATATGATGACATTTCAATTACCATTTCAAATAAATGGTCATAGGTCCGAACCTTGGGAGTGGAGCTTAGATTCTTAGGGTTAAAAATGTTTAAGAAAATATATAACAAATCTAACTAATTGTGAAGGCACAACACAACTTTATTTTCTTATACTTACGATTCAGAACCGAAAAAATGAAATAAAATAAAATAAAATAATTATTGAATTTATATTATTTTAAAAATAAGAAATAGAATTTATAATAAATAAATAAATAAATTTTGAATTGGCAATAAAATAAAAAATTGTTTCGAACCATAGTCATCCGTACATATTAACAATAATTTGTTGGAGAAGAAAAAATAAATGAAATATTTAGTTTTAAGGGTAAAAATGTTCACCTAACATAAAATGTAGAAAATCTGCCACTTTTAATATAATTGAGGGAGCAAATGTGGATGAACAAATAACAGAGAGAAAAAAAAGTGATATAATCATATAACTCAGAGGAAAAAAGTGTACAATTTTCCCTTAACCGGAAACTTTTAATTCGATTGCTATAGTGTCCGGTTCAGTTAGAACCAAACCGTGGTCATCCCTACGTATACGCAATAATTTGTTAGAGAAGAAAAATAAATAAAATATTTACTTTAAGGGTAAAAATGTCAATTTAATATATCGAAGGAGGGGGAGGGGGGGGGGGGGGGTGGAATCGTCACTTTTAGAATAGTTGAAGGGCTAATATGCTAACATGATAATTCATGGGTAAAAAGTACTATAAGTATATAACTTAGGGGAAAAAAGTATCATTTTCTCTTAATTAAATTTTGAATTAAAAAATTATTAATTACACCTCATAAATGAGGTTTGACCAAGGTGGTGTAAATAGCTAAATGAATCCCCATTTGGCTATTTACACCACCTATGTAATTATTGAAAATTTTCACCTTTTTACAATTTCAAGATACTTTATACCTACTTTTGACCAAAGGGTGGTGCAAATAGCAACACCCTCATGTATTATTGTCAAGTGCTCAATTCCCACCATGAACTAAATTAAAGGCTAATTAACCACACTTACCTATTAAATTTGTTCAATTAACTTTTTTTGCAGGTAATTGACTTTTTTTTGCAGGTTACCAATTCAATTATTAAAAAAATAATTTCAAAATAATTTAAAAATTATTAAAAAATAAATAAATACAGCCATCGGCTGTCCTCAACGGAGAACCACGGCTGTCTTTGAAATGGCAGCCACCGGCTGTCCGGAGATGACAACCGGTGGCTGTATTTTTATTTATTTTATTTTATTTTATTTTATTTTATTTTCATAATTAAATAGGTAACTTGTTATTAACCTGTAAAAAAAGTCAATTGAACAAATTTAACTTGTAGATGGACCTATTTGACACTTAATTTAGTTCGTGGTGGAAATTGAGCATTTCGCAGTAGTAGATGGGCTTATTTGACACTTGTATGATAATGGTTAAATAAGAGTTACAAATATATATATTTTTAAACGCTTTGGACCTTAATCTAACAATTTTAAATAAATATTCAAACTTAAAAAATATTTTTGAATCATTTTTATCAATTTTTTGTTAATTATCTCTCAATTATATATGGGGTAAATTCAACTCATATTTATTTTATTTTATCCAAAATAAAACTATTTCTTTTAATGAAAATGTATAATTTCTACCACCTTCGTACCATAAATCCCAACTTTACATATATACTTAATTACTTCAAGAACCTAATTGCGAATAAAAAAATAATTTTGGCTAGGAAAAAAAAGTACTTAAAAATAAATTGTATAAACTGTAACTTTACTTATACCCGGGACACGATAGTTATCAAGCATAATTAGATTCAATCATATTGAGACCACGAGCCTACTCTACACTTTTATTTGCAAAGAGATTAATTTTCTTATTTTGCTCCCTATAGCATCTCCAATCCATTTAACACCAAAATACCAAAAATTTCTACCAAATATCACATCAAAGAAAATATTATCTACACTAAATTTGATTCATCTCTCATTCATTACACCAAAAAATCAAATTTTTAGATTAAATGATATTCTACACTAAAATAATATGGTTTTCTCTAATTTTAAATTTTTATTAGTTCGAATTTAATTAGTTTAATACGAAATATAATTTGTGATGTAAATAATAAAATTTTTAGTAACATTATTTTTATGGTGTTGTTATGTTTCATTTATTTTAATTTGTAATTAATCTATATTAAATATTAGTCTTATTTTAATCGTCTTGATTAGATCTTTCAAATGATCTAATTTATTTATAATAATATAACATGTATGTTTAAGTATAAAATATATAAATACATAAAAATTAAAAAAAATGATACAAAATGAATTAACAAATAAAAGTAGAAGCAAAACAGAAATTAAAAAGTTGTCCAGAAAATGGCGTGAATGAACGGTGTCACGCCATATATGGCGCGACACTGTCCATCAACACCAATTTCCTTTTGCCGTTTTGGCGCCCCACTGAAATTTCATTATTTGCCATTTACGTCAAATATTTGTCGATTTGGTGATTTGCCGGCTCCTTGGAGATGGCATAACAATGCAAAATTATAACTATCTCTCTTTATCTAGTCATCTCCTATTTGCACACCTTTTATTTAAAAAAAAAAATAAATTAAAGCTCATTTGACTCATATCAAAATTCAATATATATAGTTAATAAAAAGTCTCACTTAAAATTCATTAAATTCATTTTCACTAACATTGTGAAAAAATATATTCTTATCATGAATATTATTTGATATTTGAATTCTAAATTTTATTCGTAAAAATGTACAATATAATTAATCAGTCTAACTCATTATAAGTTCGAAACATGTTCATGAAATTCATGATATAGTTGATCAAAGTTATAAACTTGAATTACGTTTAAAGAATTTAAAAAAAAAAAAAAAAAAAAAAAAACGCACAGCTTTTTTGCCCATAGAAACGCGAAGCGTGTGGAAGACTGGAAGTTCAAAGTCCAAATAAGCACCGCCGCCGTGCTGGTCCTTACCACCGGTCTCACACTTCGGCCGCAGCCCAATAGACAGCACTAATCTCATTCATCGTTTGTGGACCACTCCTCTTCAGTTACACACTTATCATTGTATTCATCCACCCAATTTACTTTAACTTGAATACCAAATCTTTCTATCTTCTTATCCAAAGTTAATATAATTAATTAATTCTTAATGAATTCAATAACATTATTATCATTACTCATTACATTACATATAACATTAGTGGGACCAAAACAAATCAATTAATTTGTTAAGCATGATGTTACTTGTACACGTTTTTTAATACGCCATTTCAATTGTATATATTATTCTATGAAGCCACATGCTTATTTTTCTATATATATATATATATATATATATATATATATATATATATATATATATATATATATATATATATATATATTGAAAAATATAAATATTGATTAGAGAGATATTGGAGTACTAGATAAATGGTAAAGTATATTGAATATGACCAATTATAATCTGCCTATTTATTGAAAGGTAGTGCTCCCACTTATAGTACTAAGTATATTGCTCTTGTTACAAATTATTGTATCTAGCGAAAGAGTTAATGTGACTTTTTGAGTAACACACGTAATATTTGTTGCATTACACATTGTCTATAAATAATTTAGATGTGTAATGATCTATCTTGCTCTATGCATTATTTTTCCAATTTTCTTCTCCAATTTATTGTCTTCTTTACTTAATTTCTTTAATTATTTAATATTAATGTGTATTAATATC